ATGAGTTGGAAATGAGTCAGTGTAAACAGGCCAGAGCCCTCACAACTGGACCCATAGGTGACATCATGATACATGGAGAACCGCTGGAAGGTGTCATGGACTTTGTTTTCCTTGGATCCACAATCAATGCTCATGGAAGCAGCCATCAAGAGATCAAAAGGCATCTTGCAATAGTTAAATCCACTCTATTGTAAAGCAAGGATGTGACTGAGGACTAAGGGCACCCGATCCACGCCATGGTACTTTCCCTTGCCTCATGCACGTTTAACTTGGGATTAGAAGGGCCAAAGAAGAGTTGACACGTGTGAGTTGTGGTGCGGGAGAAGAGTGGTGAAAGTACCATGGACTGCTGAAAGGACAGACTCCTCTGTATGGAAAGAAGCACAGCCAGTGTGCTCCGCAGGAGCAGGGATGGCAAGACCTCACCTCACGTACTTGAGATACATTTTGTCAGGAGAGGCCAGTCCCTGGGGAAGGCCATCACACTTGGTACAGTGGAGGCACGGTGAGAAGAAGAAGGCCCTTCAAGACGATGGATGGGCACTGTGGCTGCATCAGTGGGTGGGCACAGGAACAATGGTGAGGGCGGCACAGGCCCGGGCACCATGCCATTCTGTGGTGCCTGGGGACTTTGTGGGTCCGAGCCAACTTAATGGCACCTAACAACCACAACAAAAGTACTGTGATGCAGGTAATTCCCTTTAAGTTAACGTGTGAAAACAACGCAATTCAAGTTGGTTCTTTGGTGGTGGTGCGTGGGTGGGTGGGTGGGGGGATAAATGCAGAAGCTTATCTAGAACTTGGCATGAAAACATTGAATAATGTGGGCAATGGAGCAGCGCAGGAACGGACAAGGAAGTCAGAATGGAGGACTTGGGACTGAGCATGGCTCTCTGAGAAACGAATACACCGACGGTGTCATCGTCATCCATTGTCAGGCCCTGCCCACAGCCACCTCTTGTGCAGCAGAAGGAACAGCCACCCGAGTTTCATGAGCTGGTCGGCCAGGGGAGGGGTGGGGAGCAGTAGCGGGGAAGCCTGACTAGATTACGGGACAGGCATACGGACTTAAACAAGAAAGGTCATTCCTGGCCTGTTAAGAAAAGAAACAAATCTTAGATTGAAGCAAGCATGGGTTTTTGGCGAGTAGGCAAGTGATGAATTCTGATGGGGATATATTGATTTTTGTAGTCCCTGTAAGGGATAGCTTCATGAGCCACCAGGCAAAAAGAGGAGGCTTTTAAAAGTTCATGGAAACATGGGAATTAAAAGGTGATGGAATTCTTCTGTGAACTGCTTGACACGCCCCACTCCCCGCCTCCACCCCTTGTCGCTGTGAAATGCCCCTCCAGATCACGGATCGTGACGACAGGACTTTGTTTTATAGTTAGTATAGAGTCCGACGCTCGGCAGATGTCTCATTGCCAGTTACTCAGCTCACACGCTGTATGGCATGTACTGTGTGTTCTATGGGCTGCAAAGGGGCTGTCCTTTCAAATGTAAGTAATGACAGGCTGGTTGGCCTGAAAGCCACGGTGTCACTATCATTTCCATCACTCCTTTTTCTGAAAGCCTTATTCAAGCCCGATTTTAGACGTCTTTTCGTGCTCTAGGAAATGAGTCACAGAAGGGGCCTCACACTCTGTGATTCTCCGCTCATGTTGTGGCTGTTGCTGATGTTGTGAACGGCAAATGGCAGTGATTCCACTGCTCTGGAGACAGTCGTGTGCTCCCTTCATCCTGTGCCATTCTGTGGTGAACCCTTCTAGTGTAGTGTAGGCAACGCCGACTGCATTCAGATTAAGCAACCATGGACCTACTCTAGCTGGGTTCTCTCTTCAACTTAACCAAGCTTTTCCGCACTGGCTTTAGTTACGCTTACCAAGCAGAGTGGTATAACGATATTTGTTAAAGATGTGCAATGTTTCCTTAATACTCCAATTAGTGGACGCTTTATCTCGGCCTTCAAAGCCACCTGGCTTTTCCGCCTTCCCGGACCCAGGCCTTCTCTGCAGCCACCTGTAACTGCTTTCCTCGCTCAGGATGCGCGCTGCCTGCCCATCACACTACCCCGCCCCCCAATCTCACGCCAGTCTTTTATTTGAGGTGTTTCCATGCAGTTCTCTGTTGGAAGTAAATTGTATTTTCTCATCTCTTTGCACATTTCGATACCCATTGCTTTGGGCCTGGGCATTTCAGAGTATTCACATACCTGTGTACCTCCGCTCAGCGAATCTGCTTTAGACACAGCAGGACTCAATTCCCCGCTGCAGCTCTGCGGTATCCGTGTAATAGCAGTTTGTCGTAGCAGTCTCCGACCTTATTAAATGAAGAGGTCAACCGGAGCAGAAGGGAACTAATTTGTAAGGAGACATCTGCCCTGTCTCAGATCCTGGTTAAGGAATATACCATGGTGACATTTTATTTAAATGACATAGTACTGTCATTATACCTGCTTTATAGATAGGTAAATTCAGGTTGAGAAATAGGAAATTCTTATGCAGTTGGTAAGTAGTGGACTTAGGGTTTGACTTCGTGTCAACATGGATGTCAATTTCTTGACCTGTAAGCATAGTAGGCATTTCCCACGGACCACTGCCCCCCCCCCCCCCCCTCTCACACACTCCCTCCAGAACCGTGGATCCTGTTGCTTTCTCCTCAGGCTTGTTTCCCATGCCTATCTTATATTGGTAGGAAAAACAACAATAACAGAGACAAAACAAAAAGAAAACAAAATGTTGAATTAAAAGAGAAAAAAAAAAAAGAAAAAAAAACACACATAAAAAA